ATAGTATCATTTTATAAGTATCTGATCGTATATGACATTATTTATCATAAAGATAAAGATTCAAGTATTAGTCTTTCAATGAAGTGGAAAACACTGCATACATCTTACGAGGAAACCTTTTCTAATTTTCTCTTCAGATTTTCAATGATTTTTTGAAGATTTCAGCCATTTAGGAAACTCATATTTTCGAGCTTCGATCTGAAATTTGCCGCATAGACAGAACTCAACTAGACTAGTTTCAATAAATTTGAACAGTCTCTTTGAGATGTAGAGCTTTCAAAAACTGTATGTTGTATATACTCTTCATAGGAAAGGTCAATAACTGAAAAGTTTCATACCTTGAAAAGATTTCGTTCAACACTTAAATTTTCCTCATAGAAGTTAATCCTAAAGAGTTCTCTATATACAGAAAGTTTCAGATTGAAGGTCGACAATACGAGTTTTTGGAAAATCTGAGACCTTTAGAGAGAAAAAAATCGATAGATTAGTGGAATCTTAGTAGATAGGCAAATCCTTTGAGAGAGTTTATTAGAACGCTATATATTATCTACAGGCAAGAACAGAAACATTCAAAAGACAATTTTTCGAATACGCACTAAGGAAAAACTAAGAAAGTCCGTGATAAACATAAACTCGTGTAAATGTTCCATGATAAGCTCTTGTAGTTTTATAAAGTGAAATATTCATGCTTTTACAGAAAACAAGGTTCTTTCGTTGGTATTAAAATCAAACATGGGATACCTTTTGTAATGCAAATTTTTTTTGTATTGTAGAATACTCCAGGTTCATATGTATGTTCATGTCCACCAGGAACAACAAATAAAAATTGTCAAAATATTCAATGTGTTGACTCATCTTGTTTAAATGGAGGAATCTGTTCTCGGAAAGATAATGGTAAAAAGAAATTGATTGAACATATTTGATTAATTGTTAAAATAATATACTCATTTTTTTTAAAAGGTATATCATTTTGTCAATGTCCAGCAAATTTTTATGGGCATCATTGTGAACTTCTTGTTGTAAATACTCGTCATAATCAAGCAACAATTGATACATGTTTAATAAATAATTGTTCATTAAAACGAAATAATAATCGATGTGATCCTGAATGTAATGTTGCAAAATGTCAATTTGATAATTTTGAATGTACATTAAAACGTGATCCATGGGATTTATGTCCAATAAGCGATTGTTGGCGTTTATTTCGTAATGGACAATGTGATGAAAAATGTAATGTCAAAGAATGTTTATTAGATGGTTTTGATTGTGATCGACAATTATTAACATGCAAGTAAGTTGTATAGTTAATGATCATGTGTTTTTTTTTGTTGTTGAATGAAATAATTTGTTTAGTATAAGTTATTGTCAATCGAAAATGTTAAATGGTATATGTGATCATGAATGTAATAAAATTGGTTGTGATTATGATCGTGATGATTGTTTACCAATGCAAAATGATGGTTTATTAGGAACAATAATATTACAACTTGAAATAAGTAAAGAAACATTTGAACAACGAAAAGATTTATTTCTTCAAAGATTTAGTAAGAGAATAAAACAAAAAACTTATAGATTATAATCTATTTTCTATTTATTTAAGGTTCAGTATTAAATAGTCCAGTGAAAATTTCATTAAATAAAGATGGTAGTGAATTAATCCTACCTTGGTATAAAGATGGGAATGATAAAACAAAACCTATCGGGTATGTATCGCTTTTTGGCTGACATCCTTTCCTTCAAAAATCAATCTTCGGTCAGATACATTCAAATCACATGAAGTTTTCAGTTGGATACGCTCTATTTTCGTAAGATATTCAACGAATAGGGATCAAAAATAGCTCATTTGGAAACCCGAAATTCTCTATAGGCCTTCATTCTATGTACTTAATTGTTGATTGTTCGAAAGAGCATGTCAGGATGTGAGATATGCGAAAGTGGTTTATTTTAATGATTGGTTTTTATACGAAGAAAAATTCAACATCTTGAAAAAGGAACTTTGTCGAGTCCTGTATGTAGACATGTTGTTGCCAAGAAAAAAAATCAATTGGCTATAAGGAAGCTATTTCTAGAGTTCCGGGATGCGCAATCAATAAAAGTAAAAACGATAAAAAAAATTATCTTTTTTTCCCCTTGAAATCAGCATATTTTTTCAAGTAGGTAATAGTAGATAAGAACCTTAAGCTTGTGAAAGCAAAAAATGAATTCTAAGTTTTTAATCTTTTTTTTTTTAGTATAAAAATTTATATAACAATATTAAAAACATGTAATTCATCATTATCATCAAATTGTCAATTTGATAATGTACGTCAATCGGTTGATTATCTTGGTGCATTACAACAAAATGGTGAATTAGCTGAACGTCTTCAAATGCCAATATCTGATATAAATATTCTTCCTGATAGTGCACAACCAGTAAAAGATAAATCAAAATATATATATATAGCTACTATTATTCCATGTTTTCTTATACTAACTGCTCTTGTCGGTTATGGTTTAATACAGCGACCAAAACGTCATATGAAAGCACCTGTTTGGTTTCCACCAATATTTATTGATGAAAATAAACGCGAAATACCATGGATAAATCGTTCAAAAACAAAAAATACAAATTATGATCTAGCAAATAATAAACGACAAAAATTTGAACATAATTCATTATCACCTGATTGTGAAACAATACCAACAAATACATTGAATATACCAGGTGGTCCAAATGGTAATATAAATGTTCTAGAATTAGAGGTATCACGTCGTGATCCAAACGGAAAATATGAAGCTGATGAAGAAACAAGTTTAAATTATTTTATTAATAGTGGTGCTGATATTCATTGTCGTTTATCTACGAATCAAGAAACATTATTACATTTAGCATGTCGTCATCGTCGTTTAACAGCAGTTCGAGTTTTAATAGGACATGGTTGTGATCCTAATACACGTGATATTTTTGGTGCTACACCATTATTACGTGCTGTAGCAGCTAAAGCATTTGATATTGTACAATTTTTATTGACAAATGCAAATATATTAAAACTTGATATTAATGCAAGTACTTATACATTTGAAAGAGATAATGAAGAATTACCTGGTGATAATCCATTACGAAAAGCTATACGTGCACATTATAATGACATAGCTGAATGTTTATTAATAGCAGGTGCTGATGTTGATGCAACTGATCGTTGTGATGCATCAGTTGGTGGAAATGACACACGCATAGGTAAGATATAAATTTAAACAACAAATATTCCAGAAGAAAATGTGTTTAATTTTCATGCATTTCTCGTAGAGAAAGTTTCTTGTTTATGTCTAAAGAGTTTTTAACTATTTTGCGAAATTCTCCTTTGTATCTGAGAGAAACAGTTTTGAAGTATGAAACGCAGAAGTATCAGAAATGTCAGCAGTGACTAGGAAATATCAGGGAAGGTCTCAGTAAGACTAGAACAAGTCTAAAATGATTTGTTATTATATGCTGACCTTCTTGAGTTACACATCTTGTCCTGTATTTTTTATTTCAGGTGCAGTATATATATGAAAAATATCCAATTAAGAAATTTTGATCTGAAATTTTACGCATAGATAGATGTTATAGTCATTAAAGTATTGAAAAAGTTATGGTTAAAATTTCATAACTGGTTCTTTCCATATACATTCCTCACCTCAGGCAGAAAATAGAGGAAAACAGTTGTTACTCAAGAAGAACAGCATATGGAGAAAAACTCTTTTAGACTTTTAGTATCACTAAGATTTTTTCTCATAAGTAGACCTAAGTCTTTCGAATTTGGTACTGACAATTTTAAACTTATTTGAACAATAAAGATTACAGCTGTCAATTCTATATCTTTTGGAATATAAAGAATAATTCTTATGCTTAAGAAATAATAGAAAAATGCATTACGATTTAGTGCAATTCATTCTGAAACATTCAGTATAAATGAATAGAGAATTATTACGAATAATTTTGTTTTTTATAGGTCGAACAGCTTTACATTATGCAGCTATTGAAAATAATATGAATGGTGCTTTATTATTATTAAAACATGGAGCTAATATTGAGGCACAAGATGAACATGTATGTATTTCGATTTTTTTCGAAGTTTTTTTTTTTTAATTTTAATATTTGATTATTATAAATTTATTTAGCTCGAAACACCATTATTTAAAGCAGCATATAATTTATCATTTGCAACATGGGAAGTTTTGATATGTCGTGGTGCAAAAAGTCAAATAGCAAATGAAGATGGTTATACACCAAAATCTGTCGCTATGAAACAAATCGGTGCCGGACCATTTCGTTTTGGACCTGATAGTGATGAAGTATTAAATAATATTAAACCGAAATCAGATGCTGAAAGACATTTTATACAATGGTTAAAAAATGAATGTCCATCTAATTGTCGTAAGTTATTTTTTTATTTTAATTAGTTTTATTTTCATCATCTTATTGTCTTTATAGATCTTGAATCAACAAACCCAAAAAAAGAAACAATACGAAAAAAAACTATTGTAAAAAAGAAAACTAATTTTATTCATCATTATCCTCAAGCAACACAAATTTTTAATAATAATAATAATAATAATAATAATTCACATCGACCTCCAGTACCACCACCACCACCATATAATATGACAAATTGTTATCAACAACCATTCTACAGTCAATATTCTATTCCAACATCTTATTCACATGTTGAACATTTTCAACCATCACCACCACCATCATCACAATGTGAAATAGCTGATCAAGAATTATACTTTCCTGTATCATATCCATCATTTAGTTTATAATTTGTTTGTTTTTTTTTGTTTTCTATACTACTCTCTCCCGTGCCCCGGTGATTGTATCATTGTATAATATTAAATAAAACAATTCTATTTAAAACAAAAACGATCATATTACAAATGTTTATTTCTTTTCCGTTATTTGATATGTTTTATTCTTATCAGTTAAAACTCATGTATATTATTGATAGTAAGAATAAGAATACATATGCATATGAAGAATGACAACGTCAACTGCTTCTTGGATTGAAGAATATTTAGATAATGTAACAAAGATTAATGATCCATCATCATATACAGATGATCCTGAAATACATGGACGAGCAAATTCTTTTTTAATTTTTTTATCGAAATGGATTTTACGTTTGGCATGTATATCCATTACATTTTTATGTCCATGGGCAAATTTTAAATTGATAGAATTATTTCGAACACGTCGATTTCAAAAAGAATCATCGGCAAAATGGTATATAACATTCAAAGCTGCATTCGATATTACATATATGTTTATATCAGTTCCAATTATATTTTGTCTTACATTTAATATTGATTTAATTCATCAAAATGTTCTAACATGTAAATTAATAACATATGCACACTATTTATCTGATGATTTAATATCAATATTACTTATGTTATTATGTCTTGATCGTATGTTACGAATAACATGTGGTTATCATCTTCGTCAACGTTTTTCATTAACTATTTGTATAATAACAGTAATTTTTTTTATATTTATTAATATTCATCATTTAATACGTTTACAGCATCGAGATGGTTTATGTTATAAAAAATATTTTGGTATATGGGATTATGATTTTGATGTCTATTATTCATTAGTATATACATCGATAACATGGACAATGATATTTATATCAATAATAAATTTAACAGTTAGTATTTATTGCGATCGAGTAAAACGTTTACAATTACAAAAACAAAAACAACAAAAAGAACAACAAGAAAAAATGAGTAAAATTTTTTTAAATGATATTGATTCAATTGGATTTGATAATGATCAAGTTCAATTAATTCATAGTGCAGGTAGAATGAGTTAAAAATTTAATAGAAAATTTTTTTTTTTTTGTAATAATTTATATTATTTAATAGATGATATAGATGCTTCAATTGCAATAACTATTGAACAAAAAAATTTTAATGAATCTTTCGAAAAAGAACAACAAGATAATGTTGATTTACAAATAACTGTATGTGTTATAATATTATCAGCTATTTTTCTTGCTTGTAATTTACCAAATTTTATTATATTTATTCTGAGATTTGTTTATCAATCAAATATATCACCAATTGGTTATATATTTGTTTATATATCAATTTTTCCATTATTAATTGCTCATACAATACCTTATTTTATTTTTAATCATTTAGCTGCACATCTTTTTCCTAATAATTCATCATGATTTATTTATGTTAGTGTTTTATCAACAAAAGAAAATGATTATTAATTGATTATTCTTTTTTTTTTTGTTTTCATAATAAAAAATATTCTTATCTTCATATTAATTTGTTACAGCAGAGTTCAAAAAAACGAATATAATAATTTACTTATTCGATAAAAATGTATACATAATCTGTACACAACATATTGATCTAGCATGATTAAAATATCTATATGTTCAACGTATTTTGTTTTTTATTTACTCGGAACAAATTCAAAAGAACATGACAAACAATGTTACGTACGTGTACTCAGATGCGATTACCATGAAAGTTGATAAACTATATCAATTAGGTTGTTTTCATTTTAATACCAACAACTTATTGGAAATCAGAATAGCTAATTGTTGTATATCATAGCAATAATATCAGACACTTTCATTTTATTCACTTACAATAATAAATATTGAGTACTGTGATGACTTTGTGTATCCAAGATAAATAGCATATTTCATATGTCAACCTCAGTTACTCAAACAAGAATTTATCATTAATCAATGTCTTGTGAAAAAATGCTTGTTTTACGTGTAAAGTATTACTCTTATTCGATTCATACCGAACTCGTGACTAGTAATAGATAAGCCGATATGTGACAAAGAAGAAAAAGCGGGTTGAAGGCGCTAGAAAAAGTTTTCAAATGGATCAAGTAGTGCACACACAATATTTTAAGAATGGATAACGCTGATATTGTTTTTCTCATTGGATGATTATTTTTTTCCGATAAAAAAAAAAAAAATCAATTTTTTGCTGAGAAAAAATGAATACTTTCTAGAATTAGGGATGCACACCACATCGTTGTAGATAAATTTAAAAAAACAATAATGCTGAGTTCGTCTAGATTATGATCAATTGATCAATGATCTTAATAATAAGTTGATCATTTAAAAAAATATTAATTTCAAATAAACAAAACCTTTAATCAATCGATAACTATTTATATATATGACCTATCACACAAAAAATACGGATCAAGTACTTACTAAAGATAAGAATAGAATGAAAAGTTTTTATTGAACTGATTGAATTACTTCTTATATAATCTAGTGAAAATGCCTCGTGAAAGTGCATTAGATTCGTGCATCTTTCGTACTGTATCAAATTCTATGCATATTCAAAATTCTAATGATTGATTAAATTTTGGTAACTTTTAAAAATATGTTTTGTAGTATCGATCACCTTAAAAAAAACCGATAATTTGAGAAAAATGGAAAGACTTAAAATTCTTTTAAATAAAATATTTTTAACCTTCAAATAATATCGATTAATGAAGAGATCAAATATTGATTAATAATTATTTTCTAATATGTGTTAAAAAGCACATGTATTATTTCAAAATTACTTTTTTTTATGTATTCATTCCTTCTTTCTTATTGATTACTCCAATATCATGAGATATCAACTATTTTTGCCCATTTAATATTATGATCAAAGAAAAAACTATTTGAGACTTTTCATATAGTTCGATTTCACTTTTTTTTAAACTACAGAGTGAATAAAATAACCATAAAAAATATGTGTGAAGAGCAGAAGATCCGATGGTTTTGATCTTATTGTTAGCATATTAGATAGGCTAATATTCTATTGATAAGATTATTTTTTCAGTAACTCTTCTGGAACTATTGTGGAAGGCATTATATTATTTCTCAATATATCTATTCATCACTATTTAATCATAAAAGGAGTCGTCGATTATCGATCAGATTACTTAATGATAAACATCAAGAAAAGTAAAAACAATCTACAAACTATGTTCGTCAATCAAAACAAAAAATATGAATATATTTTAAAAAATAAAAGGATATAATTTGTCGATAAAAGACTCTCACTGAACTGACACAAACTATTTTATATATCGAAATGATCAGATAATTCACTATGAAACAAATCTTTTGAAATAGATTGACAATATTCATGACTGAATCAATCAATAAAATAATTGCTCTTGGTACATATTTTATCATTTTCTATTCAATAAAGTTTAAAACATTAATTGCTTATTAAAAAATAATATCTGATATGTTCATATATTAAGTTTTATTTCGATATGAATTTAAATTCAAGTATTTTATTCTGAACTTAGTCAAAACATTGAAAAGCAAATAAAACAATGTCTTGTCGGAGTTTTCAATGAAGACTATTCATACTTTACAACAATAGATGAATTGTATGAAACTTGAATGAATCGTGAGCAATAGACTCTCTCTGATCGAGAAAAAAAAACTCTAGAGTTTCGACTAAATATCTATAGGTTGTATTTCTTTGGCTTCGAAAACTCTTGATCTAATTTCATAAAAATTTCTAATAATAGTTTCGTATTAAACAAAAAAAACGATTTAGAATAGTGTAATTTTTATCATATTTTCCAAAACTGTATGAGTACGATTACTAAGTTTCAGTACCAAAATATTCTAAACTACTCGAGGCTCCTAAGCTGCACTTTTTCTCTTGAATCATATTCTATCCATAGTATCTAAGACTTTTCATATAAACTGATACTTCAATTTTGTTTTCTAATGAAAATTAATAATAATGATCGATCAAACAGTTACTTTCCTTTTAGTCTATCATAGAAAAAAAAATTCTATCTTGCACCTATGTTTTTCTTAAAATCTTTTATTTAATAATATGTTTTTCAATTCAATCAAGCGCCTATCGAAGATTTACATTTCGCGCTTCTTTGTAGTCATCGATTTAATTATTATATTTTATCACATACATAACACTCATTTTTCTAATTTATTTATCTGTACTTCTATAAAAACAGCGATATCACCAATTTAATTGCTGAAATTATCTTTTTATTTATTAATTAATAAAAGATGGTCAAGCGACGAGAACAACAATCAATAAAGAAAATCAAACCAACAACTGGAAATAAATCAAAATCACCTAAAGGAAAAAAAGCTGGTCCAAAACATGGAACTAAACAAGCAAAATCTCAAGTTTCAAAAAGATCAGTTTCACCATCATCATCATCATCATCAGTAAAAAAACAAGGTCATAAAAAAGGACATAAACAACAAGGAAAATCACCCAGTAAATTTAATCTTTATATGAAAACGACTGTACCAAAGTAAATTGATAAAAATTTTATTAATTATATTGTTTGTCTATTTTTTTTTTTAATTAGAATCAAGCACGATCATCCTGGTATAGCACATAAAGATGCATTTAAGAAGGCTGCAGAACAATGGGCTGCATCACCAGATAATCCAAAAAATAAACATCATTAAACAAACGAAATTTACAAATTCGAATTTGACTTTTTTTAATTTGCTTTCAAGGAGATCGTTATGTTTTCTGATAAATCTTAAAACTAAATTAACGAGAAAATAATAGTTTTGCTTTTTCATTCTTATCGACAAAAAGAATCATAAATGCCAGAAAAAATTACTACGGAATAGATCTATGGCAGAACAGTCATTTCGGACGACTGTATTTGACTGTTTTATGATACATTTCTACATTCTTCTATTAGACTTACATTTCTGTAGACCGGTTTGATTTGTTTTTCAAAACGATCAGTTCGTTTTCTACTATGAAAGAATATGTTTTAACAATAATATACAATGCACAGAATAATGCTACTAAATGGTTCAACAGGGAATTTATTTGAACAATAATCCTAAGTATTTGTCAGCGAACTAGGTACGAAGCCACAAACAATTGAGAGATACTACTAACCTTTGTTCTTTATTCAATTGCATCATAAATATCTAAATAAATTTATTAAATAGAAATTATTCCTAGTTTGATATTAGGAATATGAGGAATCAAAATTTCAAGGTTTGTCGAGATACAGCTTGGGACTATAAGAAAAAAAGGTTGTCCCAAGCAAAGCTAAAGATTATAATGAAATACTTTCTGATTTTTAAGCTAATTGTCTTCTACATCATGTTAATCAAAACATACATCAAGATAAGACCCAAAAAAAAGTAAGAATCATCAACTGAAGTCCTATATGGAGTCAATTAATTTTTTTTGCCAAAAATTTTGCTGTTACATACAAATTTTTTTCGAGTAGTAGATTTTGTCCCCTGATATTCACAGTAGAGATAGATGCATTTTGGAGATTCGAACAGTGTCTTATAGAGATATTCAAGCATGAAGCAAAGTCAACTTCGACTTTCATTCATATTCATAGTCATTGATGAGACGTTAATAGACTATCCGTAATGCATCAGTTTGTACGGTAAATATCAGAGAACGGAACCTACTCCTCAAAAGAAAAATTATATGCTAAAACTGAATTATTAGCGAAAAATATAGCTGAATCCATGATAGGTTCTATCTTCGACTAAATAAATTAAATAACAAGTATTGAAAGATTTTTCAGACATGATACGAATCAATCTAAAATAGTTTTCTATAGATGAGAACGAAAAAATTTGATCACACATATTCCTACTAATAATCGACTCTAAGCTTTTTTTTGTAATTCTGAAGAAATTCTCAGAAAATCATACTTATCTAAAACACGAAGAATTTACTCTATTTACAATTTATCGTTATCAAAAAATTCTAAACATTCTTTTTTTTTTTTTAATTATATTATGAAGAATGTAAATGCAATGTCTCGCATCACACAATCATTGTCCAGATGTCGATCTCATACAGACTTGATAAATGACATCTATAATATATGTGTATCGAAGGACACGAACATATATGATTGAATAGTTAACTTAAACAATGACAAGACAACCAAATAAATAAACAAGTAAACAATTTATACGAGAAATTTCTCAAAGAACTGTTTTCTTGATAAATATGACTCATTAATTTTATTTCTCAATGTTAATTTAATTCCATAGAATATTTCCATCAGAAAAAGATAACAATATATCATAAAAAAAAAAAAAAGTTCTTCTTTTTGAATATGTCTGAGTCAACGTCTGCTGACGAATTGTCTAATATCGATGTAACAGCAACAAATGAACAACCAAGAAAATATCTTCGTCGAAATGAAGTATGAAATTCAATTAAATATTTTTTTTTTTTTGCGTTCAAAAATAAATTCTATTTTGTTTTTTCAGGATATAAGTATTGGTGTAGTAAGTATATATAAATACGTGTAAATTTATTTTAACATTTCATTTTTATTTTAAAGACAACACGTTCTCGACAGCGTGAGCAAGATAAGAAAAACAAGGAATCTGAACCAACAGAATCCATGCCAACTGATCAATCGATGTCAAATACACTTAATACTACTACATCAATAGAACAATGTGCTATATGTATGGAAAATTTTGCTGCACAAGAAGTTGGTATACCAGAAAATTGTGAACATTCATTTTGTTTGGCATGTATTATTGAATGGGCTAAAGTAAGAAGAAGAAGAAAAAAAAAACAAGTATTTCTATGAATACAATTTTCTTGTTTTTATTTTTTTTTTCCATAGAAAAATAATTCATGTCCAATTGATCGTATAGCTTTTCGTCGTATTTTCAAAAAACATTCATTTATCAGTTCAAAACCATATGATACTGTATGTTAAAATCAAATTATGTTTTCTAAAATGAAAATTTAATTTTAATCTAGATGAAAGTCAAGGATAATCGTATAGAAGTTCAATTAGAAGATGATTTTCTTGAAATGATTGATGATGATATAACATGTCGTGTTTGTGGTCGAGATGATCAAGAAGATCTTTTATTAATATGTGATGAATGTGGGAATGGGTAAGATCTAGAAAAAACAAAAAGAATTCTATTTCAATATAAAAAAAAAAATTTTCTTTTTAGTTATCATACATTCTGTTTGGAATTACCTGGTGTTCCTGAAACACCTGAATGGATGTGTCCATTATGTGAAGTTGATCAATTATCAGCTGATGAAGTGTTATATGAAAATAGTGATATTGAAGAACTTCAAGATATACTTTTTGATGATACATTAAATACAACTGAAACTGATACTGAGGTTTGATTAAATTTATTTAGGACATAATAAAAGTAGGATCAGATGTATTTTAAGTTGTCATTACAAAAAAAAAACTTACTATAGGATTTAATAGTAAAAAACCAATATTTCATCATTCTTCAACTAATAAACTTTCGATAAGATCTGTTTGTTATGATATATGATGACGTTTCGTCTTGTTTTTTTCTGATTTCTTTTAATGGCTCATCGTTTATACCTATTACAGTATACTACAGAAACAGATCAAGTTTTTGTTGTATTAAATGTTAGAAATAATTGTTCTGATTATTCATATTTATATTGTATTCGTTGAATCTATTTATCGCATGCTATATTCATGTATTTGCTTACAGTACGATGTATCATTTTAATCGATTAAATTTTGCTTGATTCAGTCGAATAACCAAAAAAAACACACTAAAATAAAAATTTGATGAAATTATTTTGCGTAGTTTTTTTTTTGTTCTACCAGTTTTTATATTTCCTTGAATATGCACAGACGAGAAAACAAAAAAAAAATATATATACATCGAAGACAAAATGTTATCTAATATTATAAACAGATTTTATAAGATGAAGAATGATCAAATACCACCGAACTACAGTGTATTTTACACTCAAATCATGTGAAAAAAAAGCTTCTTATAAGGAATTAAAATATCTTTGTCATTACGTTTGGTATGCTTCAGGAAATTTTTTTCTTATAAATAATCTTTTTATATATAGGTTGCTGATACTACTGTGCCTGTTAGACAAACACGAGTACGACAAACAGCACGTATGAGTATGTAGTACAATGATTTTTTTTGTTCTTAATAATTTACTTTTTTATAAATGTACATATTTTTTAGGAACGGGTGGAGTACGTAATCAACGTACAACATCACCAAATACAAGACCACGTCGTCGTCGTCGTCAACGACAATCAAGACGACGACGTATACCAACTACAAGACGATTAACATTAATGGAACAACAACGACAACGTCAAAGACGTCAACGACAAGTGCTTCATGATGTTAATCGACGAATAGATAATGTTAATGTAAGTAATTAACAAATAAATATGAAATTTTTCTTTGTTTTTCTTATTTAGACAAGAACAAGAGAGGGTTCAACATCAACTAATGCACAAAGTTCTACTAATCGAAATGATACACCAAGATTATCTATTTTTGATGGTGAACCAATTGCTTTGTTTGTATTCTTTTTTTTTGTCTATTCTCTTTTTCTCTACTAATTTTTTTTACTCATTTAATTTTTAGAGAAGATGAATCATCATCAACAACAACAACAACAACAGCAATGTTACCAGCACATCGATCTATAATTACACCAAAGTTTGAAAAAAAAAGAAAGAAAAATTTTCTTGAAATAAATTCTTTTTTTCGTTTCTAGTGAAGCAGCTCGTCGAATAGCTGCAAGTGGTATACCAATAATGTCTCGTAGTCATACAGAACCATCAATAAGTCGAGAATTAAGTATAAGACGAACAACACCAATACTTGATCGTGTACCATCACGAACAATTCGTCCACCACGAATAGCGCCAACACAACCACGAATACCTATTAATCAATTACCACGTATTCAACGTCGAACTGATGCACCAGTTCGACCATCTCCAACACCACGATCATCAACAATGACAACACGACCATCAAATTCAACATCTTCAGTTGCTCCATCATTTATTGATAATCTTCTTAATTCTCAAGAACGTCTTCATAATTTACAAAATGTTAGGATATATGGGTAAATATATATTCATTTGAGTTGATTTTTTTCGAAAATAATTTATTTTTTATTTATTTTAGACCACATATTGAAATATCGTGAATATATATAAAAAAAAAGGGCAAATCTAATTTTCTTTATTCTTGGTTATAGTTCATATGTGTGTATGTATATATATATATATGTTTCCGGTTTTATTTGTATGTGTTTGTTGTGTCCGTTTTTTTCTCTGTTTGTTTAATCAGTAATAAAGAAAAGCCGAAAAATCCTAATAAACTTAATAGAAATAATAGTTAAATAATTTTTGATTGAGAGAAAATATTATTTGAAAAACAAGAAATTTTTATGGATAATAATTTGAGTTTGTTTTTTGTTTTTTTCTTTTTTCGTTATAGATGTCGATTCAGGAACCACCTGTTCGTTTTAATATTCCTGAACAAACACCATCGTCATCTATTGTGACAAATCCAGGCAATGAAGCGTACGATCCATTTACTATTGATTATGATGATGACGGTGATAACAAAAATAATAATAATGAGAGTGAACAGTTAAAAAATGCAAAACATCAAAAGCAAGATTCCATTCGGATTAACAATGGGTATGTTTTCTGTTAAAAATTAAACTTTCTACTTACGAAGGAATAATTATGTATACAATTGTCAGATGTCGTTTGAATTTATATTATAACGACACACAGTTCCTTGTGTGATTAAAAAAACGATATTTGTTTTCTTTAAAACTTTCAGAACTATCGGATAAATCTGTGTATAGGTAAAACTTTTTCTTTAGCTTTTCATAAATGCGTTACTGTCGATTAAATTTCCATAGAAATAGTCCTAACCCTTCACCAGAAGTCTCATACAGTGACGTAGCCAAGATTTTAGACTACAAAGTAGCTGAGCCCCTTCGTTGCACTACTGACCTCAGAGGGATACATGTGTAGCTATAATATGGAGTGAAACGACTTCCGACATTTTTCAATGTAATTATTATTTATTTTGTATTAGAATGGCAACCCACCCTGTGATTAATAATACGAATACATCATCAAATTCAGACAAATCTTCGTCATTACAAACGAATGAACAAGAACAATCACAACATAAAAGTAAAAGTCCTGTAGAACATAATAATAATCATTCAGACCACCGATCACAGTAAGTTCATCATTTTTTTTTCGAAATCTAAATAAAAAAATTTCTTTTAATAAGGTCACCATCTCATCGTAATCATAATTCTTCGGATCGAAAGCGTCGTCGTCCTTCATCACCTAATTCATCTATAGTAACAACAGTGAACAATAATGAATCATCATCAAATATAGACACAATCTCATCGTCAAAACATAAAAAATCCTCTCGAAATGACGAACGAAAAAAATCTAAACATCATCTTAAACGTCGATCATCTTCAGTATCTTCATCATCAAAATCTCCATCATCACCTTCAACATCAAATAATCATAAAAAAACATTTGATCTAAAAGATGAAAAATCTTCAAATTCATCTTATAATAAATCAACACGCCGTTCTGAAAAACGAGATGATTATTATTCACATCGATCACGTAATTATCCTTCATATACATCGTCAAAATATTCATCTCGTGATTATTCATCTTCAACACATCAATCAAATGCTGATCGTCGTACAACGCACTCAAATTTTTCTAGTCCACCTCGTCTTCTTTCAAAAATTGTAACAACCGATGGAAATTCATCTCTTCATAATAATGAAACAAAACAACATGAAATATCAACAGAAGATCGTAATCGAATTTATAATCGTCTAAAAAATATGAATGATACAAATACACCTATTATTCCTATAAATCATTCGAACAAAATTTCATCGCCAAGTTCATCATTTAGTACTACAAATGGTGGATCTCAACGTTCACGTAGTAATTTAATTCAAATAGTCACTACAGCAGCTACATCTGAATTTACACGTAAATTTTTAGAAAAATATAAAAATTAAAGTTTTTTCGATCAAACATAGTTGTAGTAATACCAAACTAGTCAATACTCAATAGGCCATATTAAACGAAAAAGAAAGTTCATGTTTTCATTATCATTAGAAATGTATTGGGTAAACTACTAAGAGAAATTTTCTTATTCTGGTCTGTAAAATTCGAGGTGAACAATAGCAAACTTCCAGTAAGGATTTATAATTTTCATGAAACTTTTAAAGATTTTAAGACTGCAGTCTCGGCTATTTTATTCTCAAGAGAAACTGTACTGTTACTTTACCCTACAAAGTACTGTAACCCTGCACATTTCTAGCTATACGAATACTATACTGCAGAGCGTTGTTGATTGTTTTCTCAAGAAATATCATACAAGAAAAATTGATAAATTCTCTATTATTAATTTATCTATAGAAGCACCTCCAGTTCGATTATTGTCATCACAAATTAAATCTGAATCAGTCAAACCATTATCCGTTCCTTCTATTCCTGCTAAAGTTGAATCTAAAACCAATACAAATGATTCTATTCAATCCACAATAACATCAAAAACTAATGGTAACACAGCTGATGATATGCTTATGGAAGAAATGTTACTTGAAGAAGAACAAGAACAAAGTCCCGTAAAATCTATTGACCTCGATAGTTTAACCATACCTGAAGCTTCAATTCAAAAAATCGACAGTAAAGAAGAATCCATCAAAGTCATAACACCAACGACCACAGCAACAACAGCAACAGTCACCATCACAACAACAACGACTTCAACTACAACTTCTGTTCCTTCTCTAACACCATCACCAACAAAAAAACCATATACATTGTACAAAGTTCCACATACAAATCATATGACACCACGTCTATCATCCCGACATAAAAAACAAAGTAAAAAAGAATCATCAACCACACGTAAATATTTTCATCAATTAATTATATATATACATATATTCAAATCCTTGGTGTTTTATCTTTTTAACAGAACCTGACTCAACAACAACGAACAAACCTTCAACAGATGATAATTCACGACAAACATCTCTTGATGAACGAATATCAAATTTATTCGGTGCACCACCACCACCACCAACAACAACAACATCATCAAATAAATCCATAAATTCATCTACTGAGCAACAACAGCAGCAAATCGATAATCGAACAAATCCAACAACAATAATATCAACACCTAGTGATAAAAGTACTGAAAGTCCTCAAGATATACCATCATTAATTTCAACGATGATTAAAAAAGAACAAGATCATTTATCATTAACAAAAAAACTTAATATAAATGATGAACGACGTTCAACAACATCAAAACATTATACCACCGAATGGCTAGCATCACAAAAACCTGAAGAAGCACCAACAGGTTTTATTAATTTTAATTATAAAAAATAAATCTTTTCTGTCTTTGCTTTTTTAGAAGACTTAATTGCTCTTCCATCACTTGTTACATTACCAACACTTGTTTCAAGTCAACCATCAACAACTCCAAATACAATACCACCAATTTCAAATTCAGGTGAAGCTACTATGCTCGGTAAACTTTCTGAAGCTATGAGTAAATTAATTCAAAAACAAGGTGATACGAATCGTAAGTTAAAAAAAAAAACAAAAACATTAAAAGAATTTTTTTCTAACAATTTTTAAATCTAGTACCAACAACAGCTACAACGACAACAATAACAACAATAACAACAACTGAAACAGATGATACTGTTCCAATATCAGCTAAACATCTTGAACGTATCGAAAGAGTGCGTTATTAAAATGTGAAATGATATACTGAAAATTTCGATTTTTGTTTTGTTTCTTTGTTTAGAGGAAACAACGTGAAAAACGTCAAAGTGAAATAGCTGCCATTGCTAAAGAAGCTTTAAAACCAGCATTTAGAAGACATGATATTACAAAAGATGAATATAAAGAAATAATGAAAAAAGTCGTTACAAAAGTATAAATATATATTTAGATTATAAAAATAAAGCACAAAAAAGCAACAACTTTTATTGTTTTAGGCTACAAATGCTAATGAAGTTGATCGTGTACGAATAAGTAAAATGATTGATGCATATGTACAAAAATATCGAACAATTCGTCAACATAATATTTCAAAAACTTCGAATGGAAATTCATCATGAATATAATAAATTTGACTGCAAAAGTGTGTGAGGGAGAAAGATTGATTTGTTTTTTTTTTCTTTTTTTTTTTTTGTGTATAATTTTCTTTTGTTGTTTGTCTTCTATCAATAATTACTTGAGTTGTGTGTGTGCGCGCGTGTGAGAATGGAAAAACAAGAAAAAAAAAAAGGACAAATAGACAGTGAATATAAATTGTCTTCATTTATTCTTCTTTATGATGTGTTTTTTTAGTTGATTGATCTGCGGTGGTTGCCTTGTTTATTTGGTTTTGTTTTCTCTTTATAATATCTTTGTTTTCTACAACACATACTCACACACGCATACATACATATACATCTTTTTTTTTTTTGTTTTCTTTTCTATCTTCACGATATATTCACAAAGACAAAACAAAGAACGATAATTTGAGAATGCATATATGTAAATGATATATAAATGTTTTTTTTTTTTTTTGGTGTTCAGTTTTTATTCATGCGATGGAAAAATAAGCAAAGGAGCTGTTTTAACAAAGAAAATTATTGCAATGATATATTTATGTAGTTGCTTTAAACAGTCCGTAGTAAGTCTCTTGTTTTTGTCTTTGAATATACAAAACTGAAAATACATGAATTTTGTTTCTTGAAGAAAAAGATAACAATTTAAGTTCATGGATAGTTAATCATCAGATTGAATACTAATAGTCTTGATCTGACGGAAGAAAATGTTTAAGAAATGAGTTAATCTCAAAAAAACAGAATTCGATCTCACTCATGTCTAGTCCGATCAACTTTGTTATAAATTAAATTTTAAACAATTTAATAATCTTTAATGTATTCAATTCGATTTTTGAATGGTTAGGATGAATGCAGTTTATTACTTGTTATTCACTTTTTATTCCAGCATAACTGAAAGAAGGAAAACCTATTTGATGTATTAATTATTATCTATTATTCGATTAAAGGCTGAAATAAAATGATTTTATCGATTTTTGTCATTGCACATAAATATCGATGAAAATATTGAATCAATTGTAGATGTTATATGCTATTACAATTTTAATTGCCGCAGGTGTCGGATTTATATATAAATTTCGTGAACGTTTTACTTTTAAATATGGTCGTTTATCACGTCCATACAATGAAGCATCTACAGTAGCTTTAACACAAATGGGAACAGATCAATTTATAGAACTTTCATTTGGTAAAGTTCATTATATTTATCGAGCATCATCAACACAAACATCAATATCCTCATCATCATCAAAATTAAATATATTTGTTCATGGTTTTTCGATTCCAATGCAAATTTGGCAAGATGTTTTTCAATCACTTGTTGACGATAATCAATCATGTTTAATATTTGATTTATATGGTCGTGGTTGGTCCGATGCTCCATTTGTACCAATGAGTGTTGATTTATTTGTTTCTCAATTAGCTGAATTATTATATGCATTAAATCTTCCATATCAAGAATATAATTTATTTGGTGTTAGTATGGGTGGTATCATAATACAACGTTTCACTGAACTTTATCCATCAAAAGTTTCAAAACTTATACTTTGTTGTTCAGCTGGACTTAATGTTGTACAACCATCAATGATTCTCATGTGTATTTTATCTATACCAATTATTGGACCAATGCTTTTTAAATTAGTTATGGAAAATGGTGATAATAAAACAGTACGTTCACAATGGACATATCCAAATAAAGATGAATATAAACAATATCAAAAGTTATTTGAACAAACATGTAAACAACATCCTGGTTATTTACGTTCATTATTTTCAACAATATTTCATTTTAATTTTCTATTACCATTGAAAACAATTCAATTTATTGAACAATTAAATATACCTATATTAATTATATGGGGTGATAAAGATACATTAACACCTGTTGAAAATGCTTATCATTATCATAAATTATATAAAAACTCATCATTAAATATTATACATGGAGCTAATCATAGTTTACTTATCGAACATTCTAAACAAGCTATTGAAGCTATAAAACCATTTTTATTAGATAAATAAAATGATTTTGTATTCATATTTTAACTCAACGAAAAAAATTTCAAAATTTTATATTCTTCTTGTGAAATACAAATTAATAATTCCGACTATAGATCGAGATTGAATGTAAGAAGCGATCACAAAGTTTCTAGACAAGATGTTTGGTCACGTCTTAAGAAAAAAAAAATTAGTTGAGACTCAGTTATCTTTGTATTTTCACTAATGTGATTCGAAACAAAAATTGGGAATCTTTTTTTATATATCAACTTGTAAGTCAAGAGCTACTCTACAAAATGATGGATTTCGACAAATTATATCATATTCGAAAAGAAATTTGTAGAGTAAACAAAAACCTGTTGGGTCATGATTAAAAAGAATTTTTCAGAGCTTTCAAAAAAGTCTTTTATTACTCTTAAACGAAAACAAACACAAAATTTCTAAGCTTATATTCAAAAAAAGCATAAAATTTTGATTACGACTTATACTTTTTGACTCCTATGAAATGCTGTGGAGCAAGTCAACATGGATAAACATATTTACCGGAAACGTTGCCTCGCAAGTTCCGTCCAATTTAATTCTTTCGGCTTCTCAAAGATTATTTCATTACTTTCGAACAGAAACTGAGATAACAATATCTATGCCTATATTCGAAAAAAATAATCTTAACTCATAGATATTGATTCGTCGGAAATACTTGTCAATCACCCACTTTTGAATAATTTAAAGAAAAACATCGAATTATGATTTTATTTTTATTTCATTATGAAATTTTTATAAGAACTATTCACCTTTCATAGAAAGATTATATTTGATTGATACATACAATATTTTTCTAGTTAGCGAAAAAAAAAATTATAATAATGAGTCAACACCATCACATTTCAGTCATTTCCGTTTCTTATACATGATCTGAAATTAATTATAAGAATTCATTATTCATTTTTCTTCTTTTTTTTTTTCATATAATCAAGTGTAACGATATAGAATTTACAAGTACTACTCATTAAAACTGAGATCAAACAGTGCTTTTTTCGATGTTTTAAATGATGCCTATCCTATCCAACGTCATTAAAATTAATTAATAATCAAAACCGTTCATGAATTATATATCTATAGATTAAAAGTTAATTTTTAACTTATAATATATTACGTTCAAATCCAGAACTCAATTTGTATATATTTTCTTAATAATGATCCACATGTTTATGGTATATGCTTTGTTATGTTTTGTTTCAGTACTCACAAATAGATTTTTAATATATCCGCTTAACATTCTTGCATATAATCATACATCTTTCTCTTTTCTTTTCTTTTCTATTCTATTCTTTATTGTAATCTTCAGAATCTCTATGATTAATTTTCAATAGATAATACTTGTCAAAAAAAAAAGATGTATTAATAGTAAGTGTATTGAAATATAATTATTAATTAAAACTACATATATAGCCACCTGAGAAATTTCTCAATAAAAAAAAAAAACATGCAAATCGTTCAATGTGGGATGTAATAGAAAACAATATTTTTTTCAAAATGTATTCCTAATGGAATATACTATAGATTAATAATGTATTTTATCATTATAAATCAACAGAATATATAAAAAGAAAAATTCGATTAGAGAATTTCTTGATGATTTTCTAATGAGCAATTTGTTGTTAAAGTGTTTGTTTTCACTAATGATATTATATGTTGTATAGTAATAGCAGAATGAAAACCTTTCTAAAGCATATGGCAAATAAATGTCGACTACTTAAAGCATTAATATATCAATTGAATTAGAGTATTGTTGCTCTTATTATTAATACTATCTGCTTTTAGGCGACTTGTGAGAAAAAAAAAACCAGAATGAAAATAACAACATATTTTACTATTTTGTGTATGACATCCAAACATTTTCATTAATGTATGATCATGAAAAGTTTCAGTATCACTTGCGGGAAACAAGTATGTGATTGGTTTTTTATACAAAATATATTTGTATATAATGATAACTGACATATGTTGAAGATCAAATCGGTAAAAAATCGTTTTTTGCTCTCAAAAATAACTAATAAGAATTATTCTTGGTTAATTGACTACAACCATTCTATGTATTTATAATCAATGAATCAAAGCAATCAATCAATTTGTTAATCTATATTGACAAGACAAGAACAAAAGAAAATCATTGTACATTCCTCATCATGATCTTCGGCTTTGCATCAATATTGGAATACAAATAACAGAAACTAATTGATAAATAAAATAAGAAAGCAAACAGTGTAACATCTATATAGAGAATAAAAAGAAAAAAACCGAGATGATTTCGTGAATGCCTTTATCGGTTTCTTTCCTTTTTTCTTTTTCTTCGTCGCTCTTTTTTCCCCCCCTAGACATACTAATAATGTCTAACGACAGACGCATCCTTTTTTGACAATATTTATCATTGCTGTACTTCTTCCACTTTACTTGACAAGTGACTTTGTCATATAAATTTTTTTCTTTTATTTGTATGCCATCCTTAAAATATCATTTTAGTTGACAATGACAGTTATAAATGAGCAATATTTAAAATATTAACGATTTATAATGACCTGTTTTGTATGAAACTGTATGTAATTTCTTCACATTTTTTTAATACGATTACATCTGAAAAAAAATGAAAGAAGTATTTTATTATAACTAAAGTCAACCCTAGCTAAAGAAGCATGATCGCATTTCTATGACAGGTCGCGGAAATTGTGTTTTTTTTTTTTTTTATCTTTTCACTTTTGCTTTCTAATTCAATGAATATATATATATATATACGACATTTCTCGTTGCTTTTCAAGAACATTTTAATGCTAGTATGCACTCGCTTTTATATTAATATTCTTATTCACCAGTAAGATGATGGATTTCTATGCTTAATGGAGTGGTCCCATGAAACTTAAAGATCAAAGAGAACGTGTTATTGCGCTCATTGTGCATTTTTTTTCTCTCCGTCTTTCTCTCTTTTTCGCTCGGTGTTGTTTATGTGCACGGTCTTGTCTTGTACGCTTGAAGACAAATCGAATGATCGCTTATGGCATCGTCAGAACGACTCTTCATTTAGCCGAATGGATAAAAAAAATGACAGTAGCACTGGTTTCTCCTTTTTTTTTTCTTATGTCTTTAAGATTGAGCTTTTTTTCTCCTCTTCTGTTTTTTATTGTGTACGATGAAAAAAAAGCAAGATTCAATGGTTTATTCATTGTTGTTACTTTTTTGTTATGAATATGAGTTTCCTCTGAATCTAATCATATACATACTCAACAAAATTGCTTTTAGAATATGAGAAAAGAAACTCAAGCAACACATAGATCATCCTAAATATTGCGTTTGAATAAAACTTTGGTTAGAACTATATTACAGATAAACAGAGCAGAAATAAGCTTAGATTAAGAAAAGAGAAAAAAAGAAAGTTTTTTCTTTTTTTTTGTTTGTTCTAACTTATCTAAGATATGCTAGCTGTCACTATCTTGTTTTGCAGATAGACGATGGAATCGACAGATGCAACAACCGCTAGAAATTCTTTAACTCTTGACATTGATCGACTGATGGATCATCGAAAAAGTCAAATCAATTTGTTAAGTGGCAATATTACTGAAGCAAATTTCACTATAAATGAGGTAAGTTTTTGTTTTATATAAAATAATATCAAATAAGAGACACAAAAGAAAATGAGTTTTTTTTCAGATTTTTTCTTTCTATATGTAAACTTTTATAAATAATTATTTTAATAAGAAATATAATAGTAATGCAATAGGAAAGAAAATTTTTTTCCTACTAAAATTATATATATATATATTATATAGTTAATAAGTATGATTTAATATTCATTGATCTTTGAAATGCCTTTATATAATAATAAAACTATTCTCTCGGAAATGCGATAAATATAGAAATCAATTGTTTTTTAGGATAATTCGATCCATATGACATTTTATATCTTAAGGATTAAAAGAAAATGTGGCATTTTGTCAAACTATATATAAATGTGTGTTCATTTTCCTATTGAGTCAATATAAAATTAAAATAAAGTTGCACTTATCTTCCGGCAATATACGTATCTATATATTTATATATAGATTGATGCTAGATAAAAATGAGTCTACTGATAGTGTATATAAAGAAACAATGTTATATACTGTAGTCGTATTCATTTTTCGATGAATCTTTGTGTTGACTGTGGATCGATCATTTACAACGAAACCGGATAGCTGGGCAGCATGTGATGGTTTAGGTCGTGTATTACATACATATGATCAAGTGAGACATAAAACCAAACAAATTTGTTGGAATTTTCTATTTTTTATGGGCTGAAAATGAAGCTAGTTTTAAAACAGGTCCATATGATATAACAAAAATTTTATCTGCATCTGGTGGAAATTTTATTAAATGCTACATGGAGTCCATTATATGAATTTCATCATTGGGGTCAACCATATTTAAATCATTATTTAATGAATGATGATTTGTTATAAGAAAACATGCACAAATATTAGCTGACGCTGGTGTTGATACGTTAATTTTATATGCAACAAATGCATTTACATATGATAATATATGGTCAAAAATTGATAATATTTATATGGATATGAGATCAAAATTAATACGTACACCAAAATTTTGCTTTATAACATGGTCATATAGTAAACAAACAGTTCGAAAATTATATGAAAATTTATATAGTCAAAATCTTTATAGAGATTTATGGCATTTTTGAAATGATAAACCACTTATATTTGCAAATCCATACGGATTTCCATCGTATTTATTAAATTTTTTTACTATACGTGAATCATGGGCATGGACAAAAGATCAAGAATGTTATGGTAATGGTCGTAATAAATGGCCATGGATTGATAATTATCCACAAGGACGTGGTTTAAATGAAGACGGACAATTTGAACAAACATGTGTTTCAGTTGCTGGTCATCCTTTGATGAATATTGGTTGTTCATATGATGGTCCAATTCAACATGAGCCCGAACAAATAAATCCCATGATAGGTACTTATTTTTCTCAACAATGGGAACAAGCATTAAAAATCGATTCATTATTTATATTTGTCACTGGTTAGAATGAATGGATTGCACAGTGTTTTATTCAAACAAGTGCACAAAATTCTTTTATTGGTAAACAATGGCCAATAGGTACAACATTTTTTGTTGATGAATTTATTCAAGAATATTCACGTGATATCGAACCAATGTTAGGTGAACATCAGGATAATTATTATTATCAACTTGTTAGTTATATTCGCCGTTTTAAAGGTATGTCAAACGATTATCATCAATCAAGATTTTTCACAATAGAATAATGTGACACTATATTATCTAGATGATTTATGTGACATTCCATCTCGTAATCATCCACAATATGGCAATCAAGGTGGACAACTTATTGATTATAGTCAACGAAATGATTTAGAAAGAATGCAAATTGCAGGTGATGAAATAAATTTATATTTTTATCTACGTTCATATGAACCATGGATTGAAGAAAATAAATTAAATTGGTTATTTCTTAATATTGATAGTAATTATACAACAGGTTAGATTGGTTTTGATTATTTAGTTGATTTAGGTGAAAATCAACTAAAGAAAAATCTAAATAATACAAGTCATTGGCAATATCAAGAAACGATAACGATTATAAATAGTGGATATAATGAATTACATTTTGCTCTTTCCTATCAATCATTGCATATTAATAAGACAAGAATCAATTTGCAATTTAAATGGTTATCAGCAGATTGTTTATATACATTTGATTCGCTCAATTTCATTGATAAAGGTGATTCAGCACCGAATGGAAGGTTTACATATACATATATGGTTTAGATACAATGAATCAAGTCAAAAAGAAAAATAATCAAAATTAATATTTCTATAAATAATATTATAAATAAATATCTATTATTTGTAAAAGAAGAAAAAAAAAAGAAAAAAACTATGCTCCGTATAGAATCAAGTGATTTTTTTTCTTTACTGTTATACCATCCTACGCATCAAATGTTATTCGTTCGACGTGCACTATGAATAAAGTTGAGAACGTGCTCAATGATGAAATCAAAGTCTTTTTTAAGATCATAATTGCGTTATTAACGATGAGCCGGAAACTACTACCACCATTAAAGACATCGTTGTCGTGCATTGATGAATCTGTTATTTCTTTTTTTTTTTTCTCTTCAGTCAACAAGTTAAAAGAGAAAATTGTCAATGCGTTCATGATTTATTAACTTAGTGTTAAAAGTTACTTTTTTATTTTTCTTATTTAGTAAAATTGAGCTAATTTCACGCAGTTTTTAACTATAAATACTAATATATATATATATATTAGTTTCTGTTGTCTATAAGCTGTTTTTTCTTCTCTTATTTGTTTTAGCCATTCGGAATTTTTTCGTAAAAGTCTACTAGACTTTTATATCACTTTATTGACAGTTGTTTCCGTTCATCAGTTAAGCATACTTTTGTCTACAATAATTTTCCTTTCTCCTCCTATCTTTCTTTTATACGACTATACTTTCCATTTTTTTTTTGACTATGCCAATAACGCGGATGTTCGTTGATTGATGGTTCTATTGAGAGGACTTCAGAAAAGTGTGCATATACACGCGTGTACACACATTGGCATTAAACAGTAGTAGCAAGTTAATGGTGTGTGCAAATGAGGTAATTGAAGCTTTCTTGCTATCTGTCTGTTTCATGTGGACCTGTTCGGTTGTTATTCTAGCATGATTTATGCATATCGAGTTATTGTTACTATTGCAGTTTTTTTTCTCTTCTTTATCTCAACTATATATATATATATATATATATACATATATATATAGTTGAGACAGATATAAATATATATCTACAGTTCTCTTAGCACCCTGCAGCCGTTTTACATGTAACTAGTGTGTTCTTTTTAAGATGCAACGACGAACACGATGACGTGCATATTTTTATCTATCGTGGATGTGCGCGCACATCTCCGATTTTTTTTGTGACGTGACAGAAACGATTCTATACAGGACTTGTTGTTTTTTATTTGTTGCGCAAATATAAAGATACAAATTCTTTTTCATACAAATATATACAATTTTGATTGATTCTTGAAATTAGTTTATGATCAAAATTGAATGAAAGAAATATGGATGAAAAAGAAAAAAGAAAAAAGAAAAGCAACAGAACGAATACAGCCATATATAATCATATCGAAGAAAATAGAGAAAAAGTGATAGTAATTGTTATAGTAGAGAAAACATGCATCAAAGAACAAGACAATAACAGATAGGAAACGTGTGAGAGAGATAAACAGTATAGACAGCAACAAATAGAACTATCGAGCGATTTCTATTACATCTTTCTAAAAATAAATACATTATCATCATCGTCATCAACTTCATTTGTCACTACTTTACATCTGTTCGATTTGTTTTACTTTTAGAATTTTGTAGTCTTTCTCCTGTTTCTTTTTTTCCAAATTTTTTCCTTTGTTTGTTATTAGACGATGTTAGTAGAACTACGTGCTAGCACATGCATTTACCCACATGCACACCGTCTTTTAAACTTTTGTCTCCGTGGATTTGAGCGTTTCGTCGGCGGTTGTCGTTCTCTTCCTCTTCTTCTTCTTCTGCTTTAACTCTTTTCTTTTGCACGAGCCGTACGTCTTTGTCTCAACAACAACGACGCTAGGGCACACCATTTTATCCGATCATATATACAAGAGGCAGCCAACCAAACAGCCAACCAACATTACAATCTTCGATGTGTGTATGTGAGTGTATGTGTGTGTGCGTGATGTGAATTAGAGAGGGAGAAGGGACGAGAAATAGACACAGTGAGGATGATGAAGAGAGAGAGAGAAGGCAAGAGCGGATCTGCTCGTTTCTGTTATTGCTGCTGTTGTCGTTGTCGATGCGAAGAGCCGGGAATGTGAAAGGGAGAGAAAATACCGCTGTTGCTGTTGCTTCTGACTCTGATTGTCCTCCATCTTGTTGCTCTTTTCCATCTTCTATTTTTTTTTATCTTGTTGTCGTTTGTGCATACTTATTAATTGTTTTTATCAATGCACCATCGTACTATTTGTTTTATAGTAAGAAAGGTGGAGAAAGTGAGAACAAAAGCAAGATTATTTATTGTCTTGTTTTATATTCTATTTCTACGTTTCATGATATAGACTATAATTCTATATTTGGAGATGATTTTTACACTATTATTAACGGAAACTCGAGATCTCCAACGAAGGCGGAAGTATGGACATGGTTATCAGTTGTCTTTAACGGATCGTCGTCGTATTAACGACAATTGACGATACGACCATAGATACCGAGCAATACGCACGATACATGCTACGCTCGCGACATCAACGAACACTTTCATCAACAGGTATGAGACATCTATATTAAGTTTGATTGTTTATTTAAAACGTTCATATTAAAAAACATAATCCTTTATATACCTGACATCTTCCCAGCAAGTTCATAAAAGTATGTGTTCAATGCAATTAGACTAAGAAAAAAATAATATTATATACTCTGAAACTTTAGCGTTTTTTTTTCAAACATGTGTGGTTTCCCACCTGCTTGACATGTGATTCTATTAAAGTGCAAGTATATGCTTGGTCGCGCAATTCATTCTATATTCCTGTTGTTTTTTTTTCTCCTTCAAATTAATGCACGATAGAACATCACTCACGTCATTTATTGCGCACATAGTTAATCTTGACAATACTGTGTTCTCGTGTCATCATTAATTTCAATGTATACTTATTCTTTATTGCATGTATCAGTACCTAACATATAGACCAATGTCTTTTTTTCTTTCTCTTTAGCATTGTCATTTCGTTTTATAAGAGGAAAAAAAAAGAAAATGTGCTCAACCTTATCCGGAAGTCGTCAACTATCCTTAGCATAATTGCATGGTACGCATAGTTCATAAGCTTGCTCCTTTCACTTTCGGATTATATTAAACTAACAAGTTCTGTCATCCACGACATGTATGCATTAGTCGTGAATATATATATATAATATATATATATATAGATCACTTTCTATTTCTTTCATCGGATTGATGAAAATGGTTAATCAAATTATTCTTCATGGATGATGATGATGACTAGAAACGAGAAAAAAAAATGTTGAAATTGACTGTGAACGACAGTCGTTCTTAAACATGAAAAGCTTTTTTGGTTTTTTTTTCTTTACAAACAAGAAAAGCAACTTTCTTGACGAGTATATTTATATGTCATTTATAACAAGAAAGGAGAAAGCTAAGAAGCTATATAAATATATCTATCTATATATATACGCATATGTATTGTTTCTTGTTATTGATGAACTTCCGTATACCTTGAATATGCCTTTTATATTCAAATTGAGAGTTAAATTGATAGGATTTTGGTGTGCAGGTCTAATGTTATTTTCTCATTTATTTCCGTAATTAGAATAGGGAGAATCAATTGATAGAACTATTTATTTAGATATATTATTTTCTATTATATATATATTACTGCATTTTTTTAAAATGGTTCCAATGAAGCTCAATAAATGAACTAAGTATTAATCAGAAATTGAAGTGCACTTTGAATCAAATGAATGCATGTGTGAGACAGCGAAAAACGATCAATTGAGTGTATCTCGTCCTTTCTTATACTCGGCTTTTTTTTCTCTTATTTTAAATGAAAAAAAAAGATGAAGAAGGAAGTCGTATAAGGAAAATAGGAAATATTTCTATTTCTCCACATGTCGAACTGATTGATCGGAGCCAAGCAAGAAATTTACGCATATATATATATGCATATACATTCATATAAGTAATGACGCATTTTGTAGAGTTTCTCAGGAGCCATAAAACATAAGGCTGAAACTTGCAATGTCTTCTGCTAAGTATATTAAATGCAAATGCGACTAGAGATGTGTAACACACAGAGACACATAATATGCACATACAAATATGCCAAAAAGAACGAAAAGTCATTAATGGAAGAACATAAGAGAGAGACTAGTTTCAGGTTTTCCTGTTTTGTTGCTGTTAGCAATGACAGAACAGAACAGGGAAAGAAAGAAGAGGACGGAGTGAAAGACAATCGACTGCTTCGCTCGATTCTTTTTTTCTTTTCCTCTCTTTCTCATTGCTTCTATACGGCAGCCGATAGAGACATCGTTGTCGTTTAGCTTTTACGATTATTGAAGGAGAAAACGGAGAACAAGGCTCTAGGCTTTTCTCTATACCGATGTTGATGCTGTGCACAGTGTCGATCGTGTGTTGTTGTACAAATAGTTAATTAAAGCAACTGTTTCTTCTACTTATTGTCACTCTGTCGGCTCCAACCATAACGTTGTAACAAGTGACAACAAATCGGTGGTCAAACGACCATCATCTTTTGTGGTTTTTTTTTTGTTTCGTCTACTATTACAATTCCTACAAATACAATGACAACCACAACATCACCAAAACCAACATCTGCTTCAGTAGCCACTATTAATGTACCGTCCCCAACGGGCAAGGTTTGCAGTTGTGTTTCTTTTTCAACAAGTTATTTATCTGTTTATTGATTCAAGATATGATTG